CGAGTGTTGACTGTGGAATGCAAGTTACCCGCCCGAGTGTTGACTGTGGAATGCAAGTTGTGTTTTATTATTTTATTTTGTTCACTTATTGTTTGTTTTCTGGTATTGCACCCCCTTCCCTGTGATTGTAAGCCGCCCTGAGTCCCCTCAGGGAGAAGGGCGGCCTATAAATCTTAATAAAATGTCTAAAAAAATATATATATGACATTCCCAATAAAACTATCCTTTGAGGAATCTGCCTGCCTCGGAGTTTTGCTTGCTGTGGATCTATTACTTGGAACCCTGACAGACTGTTCCGAGTTACAACGGCACTGGCAAAAGTGACTTATGACCTTCTTTTCACACTTAACAACCATTGCAGCATCCCCATGGTCATGTGATCAAAATTCAGACAACTTGGCAACTGACTCTTATTTATGACGGTTGCCGTGTCCCGGGGTCTCGTGATTCCCCCTTTGCAATCATCTGACATGCAAAGTCAACGGGGTGGCCAGTTTCACTTAACAACTGCAGTGATTCCTTTAAGAACTGTAGCAAGAAAGATTGTAAAATGGGACAAAGCTCACTTAACAAATGTTTTGCTTAGCGACAGAAACTTTGGGCTTCTTTGCAGTCATATGTCGAGGACTACCTATAAAATGTCTTAAGTCTTTGGCGGCATTACTAGACCGCTCTGGATTTCAACCATCAGGGCTCCTGATCAGCGCCTTGTGAAATGTATCTCTTACCAGCCATAACCCAAACCTTGGATTGCAGCAATGATTTAGACCACGGGTGTCAAACTCAAGGACCATGGGCTAGATCTGGCCCACGGGGATGCTTAGATCTGGCCCATGGGGCCACCCTGGAAACCGCGAAGGACCAGCCCATGGTGTCTCTCCCAGCAAAAACGGGCTCCCAATCTCCGTTTTCAGCTGGGACAGCCTCCTGCAACCCTCTGCCAGAGAAAACAGAGGTCAGGAGGGCCACACACCTCACTGGCAGAGGGTTGCAGGAGGCTGTCCCAGCTGAAAACGGAGCTCGAGAGCCTGTTTTCTCTGGCAGAGACACCGCGGGCCACCCCTGACACTAGTGACGTCAAGCTGGCCATGCCCCACTCCCGAGGTCAAACAGCCCTCCATGAAATCGAATCTGAACCCCACTTGATTTAGACTCTTTCTCTTCCAGAGGCTCATGCCTGCTCGTACACTCCTGTTGCTCCCTGTTCTCCTCGTCAGCTGCCCTGGCTCAACTGTTGGATTCCCACCACAATGGAACGTTCCCGAAGGACTCCGAAAGCCACCAGCTCCTCTCCAGTTCACCGCAGGGCAGCGCTTGGCCTCACTTGCTCATCGGACCGATGCGGATGCTTCGCACGTCAGCTTCCTGGCATCAGGACAAACCTCCCCCTGAGCCAAGTACTGTAAAAACCGACCCCACTCCGGCTGGCCTTCCAGACAAAGCCGCAGGGACTGCCAGGCGGTCTCTCTGGCAGAGGATTGTAGATGAACTGAGACATTATTACAATGGATTCCACTTGCTTTGGATTGACACGAAAGTCGCTGTTCGGATGGTCTGGAGACTGTTACACGGGCAAATCCTCACCAGGCGGGAGAGGCGAAGGGTGAGCATTGGCTGGCTTTGGGGGCGCTGCCAGCAAACTAGCCCCCTGCCCATGGCTGATTGCTTCCTCTTGAATGGACGGCATTCAGCAGCGGATTCTTAATTCGCTGGACGAAGCAAAACAAATCTGACATAAAGTGACTTAATCCCTCAGTCGATCAATGGGCTGAATAAGGGAGAGGCAGGCATTTTGCTTTGGCTGTTTCTACATTCTTGTTCATTTCCCCCATAAGAGCCACAGTGGCCCAGTGGTTAGAGTGCAGTCCTGCAGGCTACTTCTGCTGCCTGCCGGCTGCCTGCAGTTTGGCAGTTCGAATCTCACCAGGCTCATAGTTGACTCAGCCTTCCGTCCTTCCGAAGTGGGTAAAATGAGGACCCAGATAGTTAAGGGGACGATATGCTGACTCTGTAAACCACTTAGGGCTGTAAAGCACTCTGAAGCAGTATATAAGTCCTAAGTGCTATTGCTATAAGAGCAATTGCTGGATTAGAGCATCAGGCCTGGAAGACGGTTTCCCAGGTAATTTCCCCTGGGATTCTGGAGCAAAGTTTCAGGTTGCTTCTCAACCTGAATGCTGATTCCTTGGTGCCATACCGGCAGTCCTCAAATTGCAGTCAAAGTTATAATGGACACCATTCTACTGACAATCTGGTTTTGAAGTTCTTATGTCATCCCCCCTTCCAGTCATGTCACCACATTTTGCCCATTCGGCAACTCATATTTACAACTAATTGCATTGGCCCGCAATCATGTGACTGCAATTTATGATGGTTTTTGCTGGAGATTGACATTTATTTCTTGTCTCGGGCCAAACCCACTCCATAAAGGACAGGGAGTTCGCTTACCGACTGTGGTGTTCGCTTAATGACTGCTGAGAAAAAGATCATAAAATCACGTCCAGTTACATGGCATCTTGCTTTATAGCTTTCACGACTTACGACCAGAAGCTGGAAGAAGTCACGGGAGCTCCCTCCGTTACGCGGCACTAGGGATTGAACCTGCCTCACTTTCTGATCAACAAGCTCAGCATCTTAGCCACTGAGCCACCACGTCCCTTGAGCCACTGCGTTACCAACACCCCTATCAACAAATAAAAAGCCACACACAACCAGGCACCACATAAATACTACGCATAGAATAACCCAAAACAAACACTCCGCTAGAGAGGTGTTCTCAGAGGATGGGCTCTAGCACCAGTCCGAAAGCTCGGAGAATGAAACCTCTGGTCCCGGTAACGGACCCAGATTGGATCCTGCAACATTGCCCTGGGACACACATATATTTGCCTTCCCCCCCAAAGGTTTGGTTGCACATAATGGTAAGACCTGCACCCTGAACCCACCTTCTCATACAAAGCAGAAAAGTTGTTGGCTAAAACGGCTTTGACTTATTTCTTAAAAACAAGCAGGGATGCGGCCAGCATTTCTGCAGATAAAATGTTGGCACCCTGAAATTAATTTGACAAAGTGCTTTCTTGGAGCAGGGCTTCTCCCTGGTCTTTTTAGTGGAAAGGAGAGAGATTCAGGGAGGGTCATAAGCCAATATTTGGTTTACTCGGTTTTGGTGTCAGCCTTCCAAATATCATCCAGAATTAAATCAGAGTCCAAGGCAGAACTTTCCTCAAAGTTCCAATTTATTAAGAAAGACATATTGGTACACCTGTGGGAAACCTGAATCTGAAAGCTTCCTGGGGTTCCCACCCAGTTGAAAGTTCATGATCTTGTCTCCACACCCACAAGTCCATCGCATGGTCTTCCATTGCCACACTGTCATCTCCACCCATCCACTTCCTTGCAGAGGTGACCTTGGGCTTCTGGAAAGGAATGTTTTATTTTGACAACAACACATTCTACAATTCTACTTCTTACTATTCCCCCTCCCAATTACCCCACTAATGAAACAGCCTAGTAAAATAATAGGGTCTGTGGCAGGCCAAAGATCCTAAAAAGAATATGACTGCAGGCCTGACATTTGGTTTGAGTAATGTTCCATGATTCCAGTATTGTGGCTTATTGAAACATATTTACGATTACCCATGTCTTAGGGCAGCGATGGTTAACCTTTTTGGTGCCGATTGCCCAAGGTGTATGCGTGTGCATGCAAAAAACACGGGTGTGCCCCAAGCACTCCGCGCATGTACCCTGCCCCCCCCCCGTTTTGGCTTCCAGGTTGGTGCAGGAGGCTTATCAGGCCCAAAATGAGGCGCGGGAAGTGGGGGCTCGCAATCTCCGCAGTTTCTCCCCAGCGCGCCCAGGCTCTCTCCTCCATTCCTGCCACAGAAGAGGCACCTGCGGAGATCGGGGAAGGCACAGGGAGCAGGAATGCAGGAGAAAGCTAGGGCGTGCTGAGGAAAAACTACGGAGATTGGTGAAGACCCCGTGCATGCGTGGCAGAGACCCAAAGACCAGCTGGCCGACGGGAGGCGCGCATGCACAGTGGAGCTGGGTTTGGGCGATGGCGGAAATGCCCACAGAGAGGGCTCTGTGTGCCACCTGTGGACCTGAGGGCAATGTGTGAACAACTTCATGTTTTGGCTTGTGTTTCTTTTCTGCAGCTGATGAGAACATCAGCGGATCTTTTCCGGCTGGTTCCTTTCTTGGTGTTCATCATCGTACCTTTCATGGAATTCCTGTTACCTGTATTTCTTAAACTCTTTCCCGAGATGTTGCCTTCAACCTTTGAAACGCAATCGAAAAAGGTCAGTTTGTCAATATTTTTGGGGGAAAAAACACCTCGATCTTTGTATGCCTATGTCTTAGGAACCCTTTGCCTCCAGCACAATATAAATCTACCCGGCTAGAAAAATTAATCTCTGCAAGAAGTGGAGGAGGACAAGAACCTAGGATGACGTTTGTTCAATTCCTCACCAAGATACAAAGCTCTTGAATAAGTTTGATGGAATTTTTCTCCTGCTCAGACGGAGAGGATTCAAGGCACATCATAATGCACCCTCCTCCCGCAGGCGGCAGGGCGGAAGCGTGAAATGAAAGGACTAATAAAATAGGCATTATGGGCTAGCATGGTCAAGAGACTAGCATACAACAGAATTATCTTGCTCTGCCATTTGTTAAGATTTGCCTGAGACATTCTTCTCTCTTCTCATTTTTCCTACTACTTTCTCCTATTGGTATCTTATGATTTATCAGTTCCACCACAAAACCGCGGAGGAATAAAGCGCGCTCGACGAAAGCGCGTATGTGACGTCATCACAGCGTGACGAAAACATCGCACTGTTAGCGGTAAATTTAAAATTAAAGCGAAAACCTTACCCTAACCCCCCCAAACCTAACCCTAACCCTAAACCTAAACCTAACCCTTAACCTAACCCTAAACCTAACCCTTAACCTAACC